AAATTTAATATATAAGATCTTTTTTATATTTTTCAGAAATATAATAAATATTTTTATTCTTGATATTAGTATTCTTCTTTTTTTTTAATTTATATTTAAAATATAATAACTAAAATCTGGACAAGGGTATATTCAGGCCAGGATATTTATATTATCTTAATCTAGATCTGGATTATTTAAAGATAGACTTAATTTTAATTTAATTTAATCTTTTTATCATAGTACTCCAGCCAAGGGAGGCCTAAGATAATATTATACTTAAAATTATAATTAAATATATATATATATAATTCTAATTTAGTATATGCCCCGATGTCCAGGTATATTTAAATAATATAATTAATAATCTTTTTTTCTCTAATCTTAGATACTGGAATTAAAATAATAAAAACCAGATCCAGCTTATTCTTTTTTATATATTTTAGATTAATAATACTATAAGTAAGACATCCAGTATTAATTATAATATAGATATTAATTACTTGGTTAATGATAGTCTTCAGAAATAATAATTTAAAATTTATATATTTTTTTTTAAAAATCTTTTATTAAAAGTAATTCTTTTTACTTAAAGACTTCTGTCTGTAACTTTATACAGAGACTATTTTTTTTTTTGATTTTTATCTTACTTACTATCTGTAGTTTTTTCTACTAAGTATTTTCTATGTTCTGCGGCAGCTGTTTAGACTAGAGATTAGAATATAGATTCTTAATAATAATCTTAAATTAGATATCTGTTCTTTTTATACTGGAAGCAGAAATCTGCTTTTCTTTTTTATTATAATTCTTTAATTAAGATCTACTTAGCAGGATAAGGATTATACTAATCTAGGTCTTTAGACTGAACTATATACTTCTATTTTCTGTTATCTATTACTGAGATAATATATTCCTAATCCATGATATCTCCTATATTATTTATTAAAGTTATACGGGGGTTATAGACCTGTATATATTACTAGTAATTCTGATATTTTTTTTAAATATTATTTATTTTATGTTATAACTGTATCATTAAAACTAATTATAATATTTTTTATAAGAGAGACTTTTTTTTAAGCTAATAATGGCTTATAATAACATATAATTAATTAAGTTTTTTAATATTATAATTTTAGGAGTATTTTTCTATGTTATACCACTTGCCTGGATCAGAATAATATTAAAGTCTTTTAAAAAATCTTTAAAGCTCTTATTATTCTATTAGAAAAAGTATAGTTTTTCTAAGACTTTTATTTTCTAATTCTTGTTTTTATAGGCTTTATCCAGTTTCTTTATTATTTTTTTGTAGATAGCTGTGCTGTTTATACTTTAATATTATAATAGAATTCTTTTTTCTGTATTTTTTTCTAGTTATTTAAATATATAAGTTATCTGGGATACATTATCTGGATATATAGCTAAGTTTATAAAAAACTTAGACTGCAGATATATTTTAAATCTAAGATAATCTTTCTTATTCTGCCTGTTAAAAAGTTTAATTTCTGAATATATAGGTCTCAGTCACAGAACTGTGTACAGAAAGAGAAAGATAATAATATTATAAAAAATATTATTTACAGCTTAAATATTAATAATATTTTATAATTTTATAATATATCAGTTCAGCTGTTTATATTTATTCTGTTAAACTTATTAATAATAATTCTACTATTTTATTATTTATTATTCAGTCTTCTTTAGTCTATTAATAAGGTCAGCAAGGAATTATAACTATATTATATTATCTATTATTCTTCTATTCTATTCTATTTTATTTTATTATATTTTATTAACCACATAGTCAGACTTTGTACTGTGGGTTTATTTAGAAAGTTATTTTTAATATTAAAGATCACTTCTTGATTCCAAGAGTATGTTGTCTGTTAGATAAGAAAAAATAACTGTTATTTAGAACAAGGCTTCAGAGCTTCTAAGATTTTATGTATTATGTTTAGTCAGCAGGCAGCAACAAGGCTGGTTAGCTGAGTCCTCTAGTAGGGGCTTGTCCTGTAACACTGAGTGCTGCAAACCCTCGACAACATCTGACAACTCTGCTGGGAGGAGAGCCCGATTATGGAAGCCAATCAAATAGTCAGATTTGGTGTTATCTAACGAGAATTTCTAGCATGAGGAAAGAAAGAAAGAAGCTCAGAAAGAATATATAATTATATAAAGATAAGTAAGTAATACAAGATAAACAAATAAAGTAAATAAACAGAAATCATATGATCTAGAAATATTATTTACTGTTATATTATCCTTCTATTTAGATCTAGCTGTTCTCAGTTAGAAATAAATTATCTTTTTTATAATCTAGTATAAATTTATTAGTCTTTGCAGTGGCTAACTATTATAAGAGGTACTTAGAGGATCTGGGACAGATAGAATATTTTATATAATAATTCTAGAAATAGAAGAGAATATTCTTGAAATTCTCTATTAGATACCAGATATAATTAGCTGTATTAGATATTAGTTATTTAATTTTATACTAGAGATAACTGTATTACAGACAGCTGATTAAAATATTTTTAATCTTTTATTTTATCTAATTATTAATTTTAATAGATATAGCAGTGTCTTGGATCTGTTCTAGTAATAGATTAAATATATTATATAAATAGAGCTTCTCAAGATAAAAGACAGAATATATATATATATTCTTAGAAAGATAAATCTTATAGATATTACTAATTTTATTAATAATAGATACAGAATTATACCAGCTTTCTGATAATTTTTATAAGAGCTAGTCTTATCTCCAGTTGCAGGTATTAATAAAAACTTTATTACTAATATTAAAATTAATAAGATAGTAGGATTAATTAATTTATTATATCTACTGGCCCTATGCCTTCTAGATTTTATCTTATATAAAGATCTAGATTTATTTTATATAATAAATAAACTCACGGGCTTAGTCTTAGATAATAGTATATAATAATAGATTTACTGGAGAAATCCAGTTAAATGATATTTAAAATTTATATTTTTTTTAATTATAAATAAAAATAATCTAGTAGATTCATGGAGCAGAGCTGTAATAATAAAATTAATAAATAATAATAGTTCTGATTAGTTATTCTGGAAGTAATTAATAAATAAAATAAGTTACTGGATTATATATTAGTTAATAATTTCTATTTACCTGTTGATCTGTGGATAGTATATTATTAAAAATTTTAATTTAATCTGCAGGATTCAGTATAATTTATTCTAAAAATCAGCTATAAATTAATCTTTTTAATTAAAAATAATAATATCAGGGGATTTTATCTAGATATAAACTTAGTTAATAAATAGACAGGCTATGTCTTATACAGAGATCTGTTTTATATAAAAAATAAATACTGTATACTTATTAAGATAATCTATTATTATAAAAATAGTATTAAACCTATAATAGTCCTTCGGGAAGGAGTGGAAGTCTATAAATATATATTATTATAGCTAATTAGGGATTAGAAAGAGTTAGAATAATCTAGATAATAAATCTTAATATATATTTTTTCTTTTATAAATTAAGTAATTATTTATATAATATTAGATATTTCTGTTCTAAGTGCTCCAGAAGTATTATTATTTAATTAATATTATTATCTTTATTTACTCAGGGTGAGCTAATAATAGTTATTAGTAGATTTTATCCAGGAACCGGGCCTGTAGGTTATCTTTATCAGAAACTACTAGTTTATTTTAATATAAAAGCAGTCTATCTTACAGAGAATAGTTAATCTCTTATTAGTAAGCTCACTCTTAAAGATCTTCTAAGAAAAAATAAATATAATTTACTTCTAGAACATGATCTATAATATAAAGATTTTACTTTATAGAGATTACTAGTACTGGATTAGAGATTATACTGGGTTTTAGGAACTTAAGCTTTAGCAGTATTTAGTAATAGTAATTACTAGTTATTTCTAAGTTAGTCTTCTTCTGTGTAAGACAGTCAGCTAGTATATTATTTTTTTTAATTAATATTTAATAATAAAATAATATTAAAATAGTATCTCTATCCAATAGACCTGCTGGATATTAAGTTTTTTAGTAATTATAAAGTATTCTAGAGCTTAATAATCTGTGAGAATTATAAATTTTTTTAATTATTATAAATCCTCCAGTTCTGCTCTCTATTTTATAAAAATATATATAATAATTAATATTTTCTTATTATAAATATTATAATTATACTTAGATAAAAACATAATCTTTGAATAATAAGCCACAGGATACTATATATTCTTGACCTGCTGGTAAAGAACTTTTATAATTATTTTATCAGCTGTATCAGTTTTAACATATATAAATTTAAAAGAATTATAATAAATTAATATAGGAGCTGATATCAGGGCTTACTTCAGAATCTGGAAGATTATTTTATAGAATTAGTCCTAAATAAATAAAATATTTTTCTGGATAAGCTAATTTATAGACTTAATAATCTAGCTGTAGTTTTTTATAAAATACCAGTAGAAGTTATAGAATCTGAGAAATGATTAGATTTTTTTAATAGTAGTTAAATATTATTATTCTATAATTATAGTAGTCTTCACAGGATTAATCTGGATGTCTATAGTAATAATAATAAAACCTAGAAATCTAATTTTTATTATGTAGAACTTATACTTATAAATTATTATTTAAAATCTAGTTATCTGAAAGTGCTTAAGGATCTGACAGATATAAAGCTTATATTTTATCTTATTTTTACTGAAGATTAATATATTATTTATATATACTGTGACAAACTTATTTAAGAAGTCTATAAGAATCTTATTAATAAGATACTGAAAAACTGCCAGTCTATTTATAAGTTTGAATAATAATACTTAATACTTAAAGATTTTATAGTAGATTTAAAAAGTAGTTAAGTCTTTAAATTCAGGGTCTATGTAAATACAGTAGAAATCTTAGTAAATATTAAGTTTTATAAATATCTTTATATTCCAGAGGCAGTCTATTATCTTATTAATTAAAGAAATAGAATAAGAATTCTTATAAATCAGGATATTAAGCTTCTAGTAATTAATATATAAATATAATTCTTCTCTAGGCTTCTTTATTATCAGGATAAGAGAGGTGAACAGAACTATATTAAATATAATAAATTCTTTTTTCAGGTTTTTAATAATATAATCACGGGCGGCTTTAAGTTCTTCTAGAATTATTTTATAAAGAAGGACTGTCTCTAATAAATTATTTTCTTTTAGTTAGATATAGTAGTCATGGGGTCAGGAGATAAATAAAATATCTGATTTTTTTTTAGAAAAGATATTTACTAGGTTATAATAGTATTTAGAAAGAGTTTATTTTATTTTCTCTTTTTTAGTTAGTTTAGATATTTTATAATAAAAATCTATCTTCTCTATGATAGTTTTCTTAATTATACTTAGAAATATAATAAATATTTCTGATTCAGAGTTCTGAAGATATCTATAAAGAGTAGTAGCTTTAATAAGAATTATCTTAATTTTTTTAAGAATATTTCTTTCCTGGAAGCTCCGGAAAGCTCTAAGAATTTAATATTAAAAGCTCTAGTCTGCCAGGTTTTAGTATATCTTAATTAAGATTTTCTATAGAATACTCTGGTAGGTTTAGAATACTTCAAGCTTTACTTTAAAAAAGAATATCTGTAATAAGATATTAATTATTTTCTGGAAGTTATAATCTTATTGTTAGGGGTCGCCCCTTGGTTCTAAGAGTATGTCGCCTGTTGGACAAGAAGAAATAGCTGCTGTTCAGAACAGGGCCTCAGAGCTTCTGAGGTTTTATATATTATATTTAGTTAACAGGCAGTAATAAGACTAGTTAACTGAGTCCTCTAGTAGGGACTTATTTTATAATATTACCCCCCTTCTTTAGCAAGGTAATAATATGGGGGCCGGCGTGCTTATAGACTAGAGTACTTTGGATTTAGATTTCCAGCTAATTTGTTTTATTATAATTTTGTATTTTATTCTAGTTTTTAATCTTCTTATTTATGCTTCTGTCTTTAATACTTAGTTCTCAGGTTTTATACTATTCCTGCTTTTCTTATTTTCAGGTGCCTGATATCTATAAGTCTTTCTTTTTTATACTCTAATCTCAGTTATATATCTGATATAATTTTTCTTATTATCTTAAGTAGGAATCTTCTTTTTAATATAAACTTATCTGATTGGTCTGTTAGTCAGGTAATTGGTTTAAATTTTTATAAAAGAAGATTCTTTTCTTTTTTTTCTCTCTCTTCTCTTTTTCTTTTTATTTATAAGTAAGGTGGTCTATATTCTCAGCCGGGTATTAGACTAGTCTAGATTGAAGATAGATATATATAAGAATATAGATTTATTATCTTTTATATTTAATAAAAATAAGAAGATTTACTTTTTTTATTTTTATTTTTATATTATTATCTTTCTTGTTTTGACTTTATCTTATTTTCTGTTTTAACTGTATTATTTATGGGACCGCTTTACTAGTTTTAATAAGTAAAAGATATATTTTCAGTATTTTTTTTAAAGCTGTAATCTCATTTTATTCTAAGCCTGGTAGTAAGAGATAGACTTTTATTATTTTTTTTTTTTTTTTTTTATTTTTTTTTTAGATTATATTTATTCTTCCCTGTGTTTTTCTTCTATATAAAATATATAAAAATAATCTTTCTTTCTTTTTTCTTTTTTTTTTTTTTATATTTTTTTTTTTTTTATATTTTTTTTTTTTTCTTCTCTCTCTTCTGTCTTCTGCTTAATTTTATTAATTTTTATTTTTATTCTAGTTCTGCTTTGCTTACTTTTATTTATTTTTTAGTTCTGTCTTATCTACTCCTACTTATATTTTAGTTTTATTTATTATACTTACTGCCAGACTAAAAACTTTCTTTACTAGTATCTATTATATTTTCTGATTTACTAGCCTGTCCAGATACTTTTTATAAAATAAAATAAATTTATTTATATTTTGGGATCTTACTAAGCTCTAGAATAATTTATAGTTTAAATATAATATTTAACAAGTCTATGTAGCTCCCTGTCTTTTATTACTATAATTTAAGAGATTATTCTGTTGTTTTTTTAAGATAATTAAAATTATATTAGAGAATGATGATGGGTAGATATATTTATAATTCTTATAATATCTGTTATTTATATTATTTATTTTAATTATAATCTGACTAATCCTGCTCCTGTCTCAGTGTCTGGTGACTATACTAGTAATTTATAGATTATTTCTGATAATAAATATTCTTAGTTCTAGATTTACTGGATTATACTAATCTTTGGTTATATAAATAATTGAGACTATTATTATTATTCTTTAGAATATTAGTAGTTAGCTTTTCAGGATATTAATAGTTAGCCCTTTAGAATATTAATAGCTGGCTGGATAGTTTTTTCTTTTTTTTTTTTATTATTTAATTTAATAAGATCTTTTCTGGCCCTGATAGGGGCGTGCTAGATTTAATTATAATTTTTTCTGGAAATTCTTCTATATATAAGTAGCAGTAGTATCTTAGAAGATCTTAACTAGTTTCTAAGTATTTTATATATAGTCTATCTATTTAACTTAATAATAAAGTCTTTAATCTTATTCTCTTAGTTACTAGATCTTTTTTAAAATAATTTTTATTAGATATTTTTTTTTCCTGTTAATATAGATAACTGGAGACTATTAATTATCTTTTTATTAAAATAATAATTAGTTTATAACTACTAGATATAATAAATTTATATAGAATATATTATAAATTCTGGCAGATATATTTAGACAGATAGAATAAGTATCTAATATTTTAATAATTTAATACTTAGTATTCTTCTAGTCCAGCTTCTTACTTAACTAGTTAGTATTAATATTCTTCAGGTTTAGCTAGATTATATTCCTAATCTAGTATATTAGGGCGGGTAACTGTAACTAATTTATTTATTATTTTATTTTTTACTAAATATATACTAATAATATTCTAGTCCAGTTACTAGCTTTTTTAATAATATAGATGATGTGTTCTCCTATTTATACTAGATTCTGGAGAATTTTATTATATAAAATAAATTAATCTTTAATAAGATTAAAGAGAGATAATTTATATCTATAGCTTAAGAAAAACAGGGATATACTAATAAATATTAGAATTTAGATATTAATAGCTAGTTCAGCAAGTGGAAGAAGCTGGCTCTAATTATTTTAATTATATTAAATATAGGTCCGGAGATAGATTTCTATAATATTATTTATTTATTCAGTGGCTCTGTCTGTTTAAAGATAGTATACTATAGATAATTATTTTTTAATATCTATTAATAAGTATAGTTATTTCCAGGTCTTACTTATAAATTATATTTTATAATCCAAGATGATTATCTATGATAAGCTATATTAATATATATAATTGTTTAGAACTGTTTAAGTTAAGTTTTTAATTATTATTTCTTTTATAGCTGCCAATACTACTTCTTTTATAAATTAGTCTGTAATAATTAGGATATTTATATAATTATTATTCTCTAGTAGTCTGGTAATAAAGTCTATATTAATATTTTATTATAGATATTCAGGAACTGGAAGAAATTTTAACAGCTTATATTTCTTTTTATATTAGATTTTTATTCTTCTATAGATATTATAGTTTTATATAAAAGTTTATATATCTCATGCCATATTAGGTCAGAAATATTTTTAATTTATTATTAAATATATTTATTCCTAACCTGGATATCCAGTTACTGGTAAGTCATAGATTTTCTATATTAATCCTGTTTATAAGAATTTATAATCAGGAATTTATTTTTATTTTCTAAAGATTAGATTCTCTTGTAAGTTAATTATATATTTTAAGATTAAAATTTTTAATTCTAAGTTAAATAGGAATCTCTAGGCGCCCTCTTAGACTACTTATTTAATTTTTTAATATTAGTTATCTTATTTCTTAATCTTTTTTTATAGTAATATTATACTAGCAGGTATAAGGATTATTTCTGAGAATCTAGTCTAGATAATCCCGCAGTACTTCTCTAGCTAGAGAAGTTAGAAAATTTATATAATAATTTATTTATCTTAGTAATTAAATATATCTTAGTTTTTTCAGAAAAGTGTATCAGCTCAGTTATTTTCTATATTTTTTTAGTAGATAAAGAAGAAGTTAAACTTACTGAAAAAAAGATTCTATTAAATATATTTTTCTGATAATTTTCTTAGAATATAAAAGTACTCCAGATTCTTATAATCTGTAATTACTTTAAATTCAGAAATAAAATATAGTTTAATATTTTAAGTCTCTATATATTTAATAACAGCTAATAGTTTCTTATTATAAATCTTATAATTATATTCTATAAATACTAACTGTTTTGAAAAGTAAGCATATAAGTATAGTTCTTTTTTTTTATTATATTAAAATAAATATCCTTCTAGATTATAATTTAAAGAATTAGTTTTAAGGACAGTCTGTCTGTCAGGATTAAAAAAAATAAATATTAATTTTATATAAAATATTTTTTTTAAATATAAAAAATTCTTTTAATACTCCTGAATCTATCAGAACTGTGTATTCTTTTTAATAAGATTATAAAGAAATTTAAGTAATTCTGAGAAATTTAGTATAAATTAGTAATAAAAGTTAATAAATCTAATAAATTTATATACTTCTCTAACTATTATAGGTAGTTTCTATTCTTAAATTATACAGACTTTCTCTGAGTTTATACTTACTTTTTATCTAGCTTTAATAATAAATCCAAGATACTTTGTCTTCTTTTACTTAAATTTATATTTATTAATATTTAAATATAATCTAGTATTTTACAGCTTGGTCAGGACTTTTTGGACCTGTTTCTAATATTATTATAGAGTTTTAATTAAAAAAATAAATATATTATCTAAATAAGCAGAGCAGAATTCATCTAAGTATTCTTATAAGATCTAGTTAATATATTTCTGAAAAATATTAGAAATATTTATAAGCCTGAACAGGGTGACCAGCTACTTATAGAATCTATATTAAATATAGAAAATTATTATCTATTCTTATCCTTTAGTAATATATATCTTATAAAATATTATAAAAATATTAAGCTTGGTAAACCACTGTACTTTTCTAATCTAGTTTAATATTTTATAGATTAAAGATAACAGGTATCAGTCCTTTTTTATAATAATATTTAATTTATAATAGTTAATATAGAAATAGAGATCTTTTTCTGAT